GCATTTTAAATCCATGCCCTTCCCCTGAAGATAATCTCTCTTTTTTTTTTTTTTTGATTGGGGGGGGGTACTAGGGATTAAACCCAGGGGTACTTTACCACTAAGCTAAATCCTCAGCCCCTTTTAAAATTGTTTGATAAGGTCTCACTTAAGTGGCTTAGGGCCTCACTAAGTTGCTATGGCTAGCTTTTTAAAGATATTTTATTGGTTGTTGGTGGCCCTTTATTAATTATTTTTGTGGTGCTGAGAATCAAACCCAGTGACTAACACAGGCTAGGCAAGCGCTCTACCACTGAGCCACAACCCCAGCCCCTTTAGTTTTTATTTTGAAACAGGGTCTCAGTAAGTTGCTGAGGCTATTCTCAAACATGTAATCCTCCTGCCTCAACCTCCCAAGTTGCTGTAATTATAGGTCTCTACCACTGTGCCTGGCTAATATTTTGCCTTAATAATACTACCTAACATTTATTTGAGCACTTACTGTGTAATAGATATATATTACTTTATTTAATATTCACAACAACCACAGAAAGTTAGAGATGAAATACAAAGAGGTAATTTCCCAAATTTACCTGAGTGTTAGAACTTTGGTTAAACCTAGGCATTTGCTCCAGAACCTATCCTTTTTTTTTTTTTTTTTGTCTGAGACAGATTTATTTAGGAAAGCAAATGCACTTTTAGGAGAGAATGTAGGCTATCTCAAAAGAGAGACATCTTTGTGAATAAAGTAAGAAATACGCATCCAGGRGAGGGTGCCAACCAACTTGACAGTGAGAAGCTTTTGGGATAAAGCAAGGAACACACATTCAAGGGAGAATGCAGCAGTTGACCTCTGCTCCATATGGTTATAAACAAGTTTTTATATGTTACAAATAAAAAGCACATGTGAATATCTTGGTATAGTTTTTGTGCACTTTTGCTAGTATTTTAATAAGGTAGCATTGGAATTTCTGAGTCAAAAGTCATCTTATTGACACATTGTCAACTGTGATACATTGCCCAGTTGCCTTCAGGCAGTTGGCAGCACTTACAGTTCCTATGAACACGTCCACTTTTCCCTCTTGCCAGCATGGAGTATTCTAGTAAAAATGGTATCCCTTTTTTCTTTTTTAGTTTGCATTTCTTTGATTATTAGCACATGGGAGTAGGTTTTTCCTATCCTAAGATTATGAAATATTCACATATTTTTTTGTACTCTTGTAGTCTTGTTTTTGAATACATTTTTAATCCATCTGGATATATTTTAGGATATGATATAAAAATGGATATGTTTCTCTAAGTAGCTGAAATTATGCCATCCATCTCCAATAATTTGAAATATTATTTACTATATATATAATTCACACCTCGCATATATATTTGGAGTTTGATTCTAATCCATATTATTTGTTTTTAATTCACTAGTTCTACATTACTTTTTTCATTTATTTTAATTAGGTATATATGACAGCAGAATGCATTTCGATTCATTGTACACAAAAGGAGCACAACTTTACATTTCTGTGGTTGTACACTTGATGTAGCATTGCACCATATGTGCAGTCGTATATGTACCTAGGGTAATGATGTTCATCTCATTCCACCATCTTTTCTACCCCCATACCCTCTCCCCTTCCCTCTTTCTCCTTTGCTCCATCAAAGTTCCTCTATTTTTCCCATGTTCCCCCCTGCATTATGGATCAACATCCACTTAGAATATTTGACCTTTGGATTTTGGGGATTGACTTACTTCACTTAGCCTGATATTCTCCAGCTCCATCCATTTACCTGCAAATGCCATAATTTTATTGTTTAATGCTGAGTGATATTCCATTGTGTATATATATACCACAGTTTTGTTATCCATTCATCTATTGAAGGGCATCTAGGTTGYTTCCACAGTTTAGCTATTGTGAATTGAGCTGCTATAAACATTGATGTGGCTGAATTACTATAGTATGCTGATTTTAAGTCCATTGGGTCTAGACAGAGGAGTGGGAGATAGCTGAATCAAATGGCGGTTCCATTCCAAGTTTTCTCAGGAATCTCCATACTGCTTTCCAGATTGGTTGCACCAATTTGCAGTCCCACCAGCAATGAATGAGTGTGCCTTTTTTCCCACATCCTTGCCGACATTTATGGTTGTTTGTATTCTTGATAACTGTCATTCTGACTCTCCACATTTACTTTAATTCCTAGATTTTTGTAACTTTTTATGTAAAGTTCATCTTTTATGGGGTAATATTCCTGAAAGTTAATACGTAACTGAGAAAAATATTTGCAGTACACAGAGTTCTTATAAATGATGAGAAAAAAATTTTTTAATGGTCAAAAATCGGTAACAAAATACATAGAAAACATACAGTCAGCTTATCTCCTTTGAGTGAGTTTGGGGGAAATGGTGGGGATGGTGGTAGAATTCACACTGACATTCATGTGACTATATTTCTTCCACTTAAATGTTGTTCCATGGTCATCTGGTGATTTCCTTCTGCTCCTGGCCTAGAACTCAGGGCTGTAGTTCCTACTTAGTGGGATGCGGCTGTGCTAGGGGCAGATGGAGGAGAATGGAGAATGTGGGCAGGTATTGGCTTCTCTCCCATGGCGTGACCATGGAAGTCATAAGCGTAGACAAGACTTTACTGAAGGGTTGGGGAAAACTAACCCTGGCAGGAAATAATTTTAAAGTTAAGGTAGGAAGAGGTTTCTCATGGTCCAAAAGAATAGGAAAATTAAAATCTTGATTCCTCATGGATGCTTTCTCCATGATTTTCCCTACCCAGCAGTCTCTAATTTATGCTCTGAATTTAAGATCACTGTTTGTCTCCATTCTGAGATCACTTCCTTCAAACAGCTACGTTTGCAGAGCTCSAACTTTCAGTAAAACCCTAACCCCTCCTATATGGGTTAGCCTCACCTCAGGATCTGTACCCCATAGTTTCTAGAAGTACTTTGCCCTTGGTCACGTGGGGATTGAATCCAAGGTACTTTACCACTGAGCTGCTTTCCTAGTCTTTTATATTTTTTATTTTGAGACCAGTCTCACTAAGTTGCTGAGGCTCAYCTTGAATTTATGATCCTCCTACCTCAGCCTCCAGAGTTGCTGGGATTATAGATGTGTGCATCTGCATCAAGCTAGATGCTCTTAAGTCTGTGTTAGTGGAGAGTAGAAGGGACTCCAAGGCAAGTCTTTGTAGCAGTGTCCAGTGTGAAGTATATATATACCCCCCAATTCATGTAAGCATTCACCTGGTGACATGCCCTCCCATGATAGACATTCTTAGAGATTGTAGTAGCCAAATCTGAGGAAGAATAGAATATGTATTTTTAAGACATTATGCAGAACAGGCTCATGTGAAACTCTAGGTCATTCTTAGATAAGGCCCCTGGTTGCTTCCTGCTCCATTGGGGCTACTTTACTTTTTCCGGTTATAATCATTTGTACTTTTCTGTTAGTTCACATTCATATTTGCTAAGATACCGCATTAAACTTGTAACTATAGTTGTCCCAGTTTTTGAGTTAACTAACCCAAGCTTAGGAAAAAAATTGTATTTGATGGTGAATCAGTTTTGCTCAAGAAACACTTAAGTTTATTTTCAGATTTTAAAAATATATTTAATAAGCATTTGCATGTGTTCCTCTAATTTCTTACAGAGCTCTCACCTTTGTCTATCCTTTTGGTGCCACCTTGAGTGTCATGAAACCAGCAGTGGCTGTTCTGTCCACAGGCTCTGTCTGCTTCCCACTTAACAGACCYATTCTGGCTTTTTATCACTCAAAGGTACAACTTTTGTTAAATATGTGTGTGTATGTTATTTTTATTATTGARATACTAAAAACTTCTTGTCATTTTGTATATGAGTTTCACATATTTTCTCACTGATCTTTATGTCAATCCAATGAAGTAGTTTTTAGGTATCCACATTTTATTCATGGGAAGCAGTGGGTCATCATATAATCAATGGTGTCAAATCCTAAACCTACCCCTTATTCTAAGTCTAAAGCTTTTCCACAATAGTGTGAGGGTATCTGTTTATAACTCTCAACCAACTTTGTCCTATTATTCTGTGTCCTCACCCTCAGAGTACTGAGAATCCATTCAGGAAAAGGGGGAGTTAACTACACAAAATTGGCTAGAATTAGCTGCTTTTGTTTTGGTTTATCCCAGGAGAACATATCAGAAGACTAGTTGTCCAGTTCTCATTTGGAGACCCCATGGAGTGTGGCAACAGTGGTCCAGAGGTCTCTATGTTATGCTGTCATTTTCCCACTGCCTTTTAATTCACATTTTGTTGAATTTACCTTCATCTGTCCATAAGACATGAAATTCATCAGCTGACCTTTCTGTTTTTTCAAGGGACTTAAATATCCCTTGGTCTACACATTCCTAGTTTTTCTTTGTGAGATCTAGTTTTATCTTTCCTCTTCTTATTTAAAGCTCTCATTTTTCTTAGGAAGTAAATAAATGTCTATGCTGTGAAAGATTTAAATGAAATTCATGTGGCTATTATGGTAGTTTTCTCTTCCAAATAGCTGAAATATTATTTTATTTTATTTATTTATTTTTTATTTTTTTAAATTTTTAATATTTATTTTTTAGTTCTCGGTGGACACAACATCTTTGTTGGTATGGTGCTGAGGATCGAACCCGGGCCGCACGCATGCCAGGCGAGCGCGCTACCGCTTGAGCCACATCCCCAGCCCCTGAAATATTATTTTAAAACTAAAGTGTTATTTTTGAGATGTGGAAATAGTTTATATAAACTGTCAGTTTATAAATACAAATGAAAATGAGATAGTATTTTAAGAGGCCTCTGGTTTAATACTGCAAACTATGATTATTTGATTTCTTTTTTTGTTGTTGTTTTGTTTTTTCTTGTTTTGACAATTTGGGGGATTGAATCCAGGGCTTCTTGCATACTAGGCAAGTGATCCACCACTGAGATACATACCCAGCCTTTTTTAAACAATTTTTAAAAATTTTAAACAAGGTCTAGTTAAGTTTCCAAGGTTGTCCTTGTGATCCTCCTGCCTCAGCCTCCTGAGTAACTAGGATTATTGGTGTGTGCCACCACTCCTGTCTCCTTTACCTTAATGTTTCATTTGGATTTATTTCTAATTATTTGTGACATAATTAGATATAGTTATGGATATAACATTGCAGGTAGATTTTTTTTGTGTATTTCAGTTTGTTTTGTTGCATATGTTGACAGTTGTTGCAGCAGTGTGTGACAGTTTGAGCAGCAATGTGTGAAAGAACTCATTTCACTAAACCTGACCAACACTTTATAGTCTTTTTTATATTTATTAATCTGATAGGTAAAAGTACTTTGACTAATACTGAAGTTTTTTCTTATGAACCAGTCGATATTTCTTTTTGTGAACTTTTCATATTGATAGTTTAGTTTTCTGTTTGAATMTTAAACTCTATTTTTTTTTTGTACTTATAAATGTCTTTGAAATTCTGATAGAATATGTTTGGGTTTGCCTTTTCTCCCCCTTTAAAATTGTTATTGGTCTGAGAGAATAGTTCAGTGGTAGAATGCTTACATAGCATGTGTAAGGCTTTGGATTCTATCCCCAGCATTAAAAAAAATTATGATCTTCATTTATATGATAACATTGGGAAAAGGCTGGCAAACCAATTTATATTACTTTTTGTTAAAATTAAGTGGGAAAATATAGATATGTCTAAAATGAGAGGCCAAGTAAGTTGTAGTTGTCATCACAGTGGATACTGATAGACTGTTAAAATCCTAATGTGAATTGGCACTTTTTAGTATGTAAGATAGTTGCTGACATGATTCTGGTGGTAAATGTTGAGGGACTAGGATACATGCAGTGTTTTGGGATCTGAGTATCTGACAGTGCTTTGTCATTAGTAGAACCAAGGCGGGAAGCTGGCAGTGCTTGGCTCATGTCACATGTTCAGTGACCAGTATTTGGATAAAGAAGAAAACAGCAAAATCATGGTGAGCTTTTCCCTGTCATCAAATTGATGTATCAATATTGGTAAGCACCTTTACTGATTTAAAACCATCTCTTCAGAATCCATTATATGGTGGTACTAAGAATACAGAGTTTCAGGCATAGTCCCTTGCTTAGAAAAAGTTTATAGCACATGAAGAAAAAGAATGACATACAGATTAATCCAGAAATATATTTCTAAGCATGCCAAGTAGGGATGAGAGCCGACCCTGAGAGGAGCAAGCTTAATAAGGACCTTAAGTGTAAAGCCCCAGAACTTGAACTTTATGCCAGAAGCTATGGGGACCCCTTTAGGGTTTGCAGCAGCCTTGGGCATAGTCAGATCCCTCTGTCATTTGTGTGGAATGAGAAAGGGGCAGCCAGAGCCAGTTAAGAGGCTGGTGAAGTCAACCAGGTAAAAAGAATAAAGACTGAATCAAGGAGTGAAGGGAGAATGGAGAGGAGGGGCGGAGAGTGTGCATGGAAGCTAGGAACTTTATGTACAGCACTGACTGATGAGGGCAATGAAGTAAAGACATTGCAGTTATTCTGTCAGAATAGTGTAAAGGACAGTAGAGTGGGAAGCAGATACCTTCACAGAGCTGTACATTGTGGGATTCCAGTGGCTTACTTGTCACAGGAAGTTATACGAATTAGTGAAATTGACTCCTTCCATTTTAGAAGGGTTGTATTGAGAGTCTGTTTTTTTTTTTTTTGAGAGAGAGAGAGAGAATATTTTTATTTTTAATATTTATTTTTTAGTTTTTGGCGGACACAACATCTTTGTTTGTATGTGGTGCTGAGGATCGAACCCGGGCCGCACACATGCCAGGCGAGCGCGCTACCGCTTAAGCCACATCCCCAGCCCC